TTCAAAGGGTACGGGATTTGTCCATCAATCTTGAAGCAAATTACATCAAAACGTAAGGTAGATGCATTTGTCTTGATCTCATCAGGTTTTTTCCCCCATTTAAGTTGCATGAATTGCCTCTCACAATCATCAGTCAGATTACCATTGCAAAAATCAGCCTCGTAAAATGTTAACAACTGTGGGGCATTCTGAACTAACCTTTCTCCCTGTGCACTGAAGCAGGTCAGGAGCGCTCACATAGCCCACTCTGCCATCCTGCTCTCTGAGGGTGGGTGATCTCCAGCAGAGGGACAACAACAAACATTCAGAAAGTACCATCAGGAAGGCATGGTAAAAATCTTAACCTAGAACAGTTATTTCTCCAGTTAACAGCAGCCCATACCTTTAGTTCTTTAGAAATGAGAGCGAAGGTACTGAATCAAACCAAAGGTTTGTCTCCCCCGTTGTTCTGACTTCAGCAAAAACAAGCATCACATGCCTTGGAAAGAGTACAAGAAGCAGAGTGTGCATGAAATGATGCTTCCCTTATTGTATCATCCAGCAAACAGTGGTTAGAGACTTCCTGAACCAGAGGTTGCATCCAGACCGTTGCCTTTAATAGCCACTGGTATTTATTTCTCCATGAATTTCTCTAATCCCTCTGAAACTCTTAGTACTTTTAATTTCCCCTACATCTGTGGCAGTGAGCTTTACAATTTAATTGAACACTGCACAAAAGTCACTCCTTTTGCTTCAAACCTCCTATGCAATGATTTCATTTTACATCCTCAGCTCTTGCATTGCAAAAAACAAAATAATTGTTCCCTATGTGCCCTTTTTTGCAGTATTTATGGCTTTATAGTCTTCTACTGTATTTTCTCTCAGTCATCGCTTTTCCAAGCTGGAGTTCTAACGTGTTCAGTCTCCTTATGTGGAAATGATCCAATATCACCGATAGTCCTTGTTACCCATCTTCATACTTTTTCAGTTCCACCCATGCGTGTTTTGGAAATGATGCAACTGCATTTTTCTCTCCTTCAGTGCATTTGAGCCCAACTTCCCTGT